AAAAAAAAAAAAAAAAAAAAAAAAAAAAAAAAAAAAAAAAAAAGGCCAACATGGGAACAGCTTAAAGACAGAGGAATCCTTGGGCTGAATGATCAAAAAGGCACCCAGTTGTCAGTTGATTTTGAATTTTATTTCAGTCTCAGACTGATCATTTGAACTTGATTAAACTATTTAAGGCACCATTTGTTTACAGAGTATGGCAATTTAACTATCAATAATAATTATAAAAATAAAAAAAAACACAAATAACGAATGATAAATATTTAAAACATGACACATGTTTTGTAAGATCTTTCAGACTTAACACGAACATTCTTGAAATTATTAACCTGTGGCACTGTGTATGTAAAATGCTTGCATAACATTCAATCACAAGTTACACTTATAAAATGACAAGACTAATCACTTTCTCTAAATTACAGTACCTGTAGTCCATTGCTAATTCTCAGCATAAATCACATGATGAAAGAGTCTTAGATATTAAGGAAAATGGCACATAAATACTAGTAATCAAGTATTTTTTATCTATCAATTGACAATTCATTTTATTTTCTTAATTTCTTTTCTCCTAAACCCTCATCATTATCTTTTTTTTTTCAGGGGCAGGTCCAGAGATATTTTGAGAGATATATATTGACAGTCTTTTCAAATTATCTTTGTTGATCCATCCTCTGCTTTTGACCCTCTTTTGACAGAAAAAAAATTACATGCCAATCCATGTAAACTTTAAAAAATTCTGACTGTCTTCTGGAAGACCCAGAAGATGGCCTCCGTCTGTCCCTGTATTTCTACTTCTAAAACTTAAATATGTTTCACAACCCAGAATTTTCTTATTAATAAACACCATTTAAAATGGAAAGAAAAAAAACTAAAACAAAATATCCATTAAGTAATTTACTTTTTACTCTTGGGTCCTTTCTTTTCATCTTTTTCCTTGATATAACCATGCTGTTGGAGGATAGTTCTGGCACAGTTGTTGATATGTTTAAACCTGTCAGGGCCCAGGTGAACACCACCGTACCATCGCGTTACAACAACCATAACATTTAACGCATTAATAATCTGCATGATGTGCAGCATACGAGACCCCGCATGTGTTTCACCATCGTCCTTACAGTTCTGTGCAATCACATTATGTGGACCATCCTTGCGAATTCGATAGGCAAGAATGTTGTGTGTGGCACTGGCAATCTTTTTATTCTCCAGCAGTTTCTCCATTACAAGCTGCACCTCTTCCTCGCTGTTCACGGCTGCCAGGTGGGCTTGGAATGTACTTTTACGGTCCTTCACAGGATCGCCATGATGAATCACCGGACACTGAATTTTCTCCACAAGGTCTGGTTTGTGAAACGTCTGGGGCAAAACTTCAAGTGACTTCACCTCTTCTGAGAGGTCACTCAGGTCAAGGTCAGGCTCAGGGTGAAGGTCACCAGTAGCCTCATCAACCACATCTTGCATTTTCAGGTTCACATTCATGTCATCACTGCAGGCATCAGCTTCACTAGAAACCAGCTCTAAATCATCTTTTTTACTGCTAAGGTAGTCCCTGATTTTCTCTACCCATAAATATATAATGCTCTCCCCTGCATTTTCAACATAAACTTCCTCAAGGGTGTTTTGTAATTCATATCTCACTGCTCCTCGGAGCCAGGGGGCATTGATTTCATATGTGGGTGGGGAAGAACCTGGATAGTCAGAAGGCAAAGTCACCTGGAGGGTAATTTTCCACTTGGGCTTTTCTTTGCCATCTGTGATCTGAAATAAAAAAATATATGGTTGCATACTATGGTACTATCTGGAGCATATAATTTATGCTTTATGTTAAATTCTCTACTACTGATAGTATCTTGACTTGGACATGTAGCACAAATTGAGAGTAGTGAGATTCAAAGGAAAGGTTCACAACCAGTTTTGAGAATGTGGGTGCAAAAATCTTCATGGAACAAAAGTTTGTGAATCAATCAAAAAGTCCATGGTAGAGCTGAGTGCAGAATTGGTGGACAAACCTCTATACAGTAATGTCTCTCAGCCTCATCTACAACTCGCCAGTCCTCCCCATAGATGGAGGACAGAGCCTCAATTTCGTCTGACTGGCGGGACAAATTGTCTTCATCCATGGTCGCTGCCACTCATTTCAAGGTGCAGAATTGTCCGTTGTGACTGGAATCGATCTAAATTATTATTTGTTTTGAAATTTTGTTAAAAAAAGAGGGGTGTCGATGTGGTAAAACTTACATTCAGACATTTTCAGTCTCCAAACAGTGAAGAGAGATTTATCAAGGTCAAGGTTACCGGATGTGACGACACGGGCATGGTTTAAAGAACTTATGGTTGCACAAACACATGATTGCGTTTAAGTTTTGTTGATTGTATTCTTGTCACTGACTTTGCCACGGAGTAGAGGGAAATAATGGGGAAGAAAAACAAGGAGCCTTCCCTCGGAAGACATTTGATAAAAGAGAGATTCGGGAAACAGCGGAAGAAAGTTGGGACAGATTCATTCGTAAGTTTAAATCCCCGTCTTGCCAAGTCCAAATTCAGTTGTTAATTTTAACTTGCCCCAATTCTTGTGCCTGTGTAAGATTTGTTACTGAATATTTGTTAAATTGTTTCTTACATGTTAATGCAGTCGATTTGACATTAAGTTCAAAGTCAGGGCAGCTGACTTTCAATTAAAGATCTTTTTTTGTAAAAACAGAAAAAACATTTTGAACAGATCATATTAAAGGTTGTGATAAGTTTGAAATACAAAATGAAAATTGTCTATGTACTACATTCAGGTCTGTAGCATAGTTAGTATGAGTTAGGCACTCGTGTGTTTCACTTTTTTTTTAGTTATTTACGTGACATTGTATTTATCTTTCATTTCAGTTACACACAAGTGAGCTTTCTGATGGCTTTGACTGGGGTCGTCTCAATCTGCAGTCTGTGACAGAACAGAGCAACTTGGACGAGTTCTTGGCTACGGCTGAACTTGCGGGAACTGAATTTACAGCAGGTATTATCTGTTTGACGTAGTCATGATAGCAGTGAATGAATGAGATATGAAATTTTTAACTATCTAATTTACTTATGGAGAGCTGAAATAGTTTCATTGTAAAATGTACAACTTTAAGACATTACTAAGCTTTCATGTACAAGAGAGCCTTAAGAGAAAACAACATTATCTAGCTACAGGATTTAATAGTAAACTGCAAAAAATAAATACATATATAAAATAAAATGCTAAAAAAGTGTTACAGTAGTCATTAGAATTTCCAAATAATTATATAAGTATAATTCTAATATAAAGGATATTTTAACAAAAAGCATTTTGGTTTAATCACTCCATTTCTCCTATTTCAGAGAAGCTAAATGTGAAGCTGATCACAGTTGACAGGAACTCTGGACTGCTGACTGAAGAGGAGCAAACTAAGGTCACACAGGTGCAGGAGGAGAACAGACAGCTGCTGAGAATACCAAGGAGGTTATATTTCTCTCCGTCCTCCTCTCTTTCTGCATACTTGTCTCTCTCTCTCTCTCTCCTGGCCCCCTCATCTCTCTCTCTCTTTCACTCTCTCCCTCTCTCTCTCTCTCTCACACACACACAGAGAGAGAGAGAGAGAGAGAGAGCGAAATGAATGTCATATCTACCTCCCCCCCCCCCTCTCTCTCTTGCTCTCCCTCTAAGTACAGTTTTATTTCAAACTTACATCTACATCAAATTATACTGTTCACAAGTTTCTCAGCATATTACATTACCAGGCAACATGATTTCACACACATATATATATATATATATATATATATATATATATATATATATATATATATATATATATATATATATATGCATACATACACCAGTAAGAAATAAATGAGCACCATGATTATTCAAGTCCATCTTGAACTTCTAGTAACATTTACCAGTACAATGTATTTAAAAATCCTTGACAATGTTTTATTGCAGGCCGCAGTGGGATGAGACCACCACTAAGTCAGAGCTGGAGCAGGCTGAGAGGGAGTCATTCTTAGAGTGGAGGAAACACTTGGCCTTGTAAGTAGACTAAAGTAACTATACATATTATGTAGATGCCAGCAACTATAAGGAAGTGTATCAATATGTGAGAGAAATTTGTACAAGTATGCCAGTTGTAAAGCTTCCCAGTCCTTGCAGATTCTTTCTTCTACTGTGACTGGTCATTTTTCAACAAATTGGGAGTTTGAAAAGAAATGCTAGTATTATTTTCTGTAGACATAGTCAAAATACTCAAAATAGTGAATATACAGTATTACCAAAAATTTGAAATGATTATTCAGACTGAACATTACCACCTAGAAGTTGTGAAACTTTAAAACCCTGGCATGTTCAGTTTTTTATGGACTCAGCTCTATAGGACAAATGAGTTGGATGTTTTGTCTATGGTACAATGTAGCAATGATTTGGTAGTGCTGTGATATATCCTTTGATGCACTCGATTTAAATTAAGTCACATACAAAAACAATATTTTGGCCTATATTTGCCAATAACTTTTATTATTACAGACTGCAGGAGAAGGAACATATCTTAATGACACCTTTTGAGAAGAATTTGGACTTCTGGAGACAGCTTTGGAGAGTGATAGAAAGAAGGTTGGTACTGTAAACACACACATAGCACACACACATACACAAAATAATAATTGAGGATTATTTTAAAAACTGTGATAATAGTCTGATATAAATCTTTTAACTGTTTGTCTCAGTTTCTGGAATATATACAATTTTCAGCAAGATAACTGATTCTCTGTATAATGCCTTGCCAGCGACATTTTGATCCAAATCGTGGATGCCAGGAACCCACTGCTGTTCAGGTGTGTTGACCTGGAGAAATATGTGAAGGAGGTCAACACAGAGAAGGTCAACATGGTGCTGGTCAACAAGGCAGACTTTTTGACTGACAAACAGAGGTGAGGAGCCTTTAAGTTCATTTACATACAGTGGACCTTTTTTCATGCTATATTGACATGGGTTGCTATTGGTGAAAGTTTTCAGTATTATGTCCCTATTTCAGGATTTTCAGTCTTAATTTTGATAGTATTTTTAGTGTCACATTGGTTTAAATGAAAAGAGAATTTGTCAGCTGGGTTTTCAGGATTTTCAGTTTTTCCAACTTTTGCCCATTCCTTTGTGACTTGATTTGAGTAATCTCTCATTATGCAACAGAAGATGGATCAATTTCGTGTTGAGTTATCAGGTGTTGTTTTCATCGAGATATATAAAACTTTGACAGGGAGGAGACAGTTTCTGAAATTATTTTTTATGCTTCAGAAAAGTGAAACTAACTTCTATTTTTCATCAATTTGGTAAAAAAATGGGAAAAAGAAAAATACTGATGGTCATTTTCTTCACATAAACTGTTACAGTAGGTATTTCTGATTAATAGGGGCAATATGATAATCAAGTTTTCTCTTGTTCTTTAGTTACTGGCTTTATGATTTCAGAGAGATGTGGTCAGAATATTTCAGCAGGGAAGGTGTCAGGGTGGCATTTTGGTCAGCAGTGGAAGAAATGAGGAGATTACAGGCAAGTCACGTAACTTAAAATATAAATAGGATGGGTGATTTGCTATAAATTTATAATGAAACAGAATTGAGACATTGTCATTTAGCAAGTGCCCCAATGCAAAGTTTCAAATGCTTTATAGACATCAACTCTTACTTGGTACTCCTTTTTAATATACAAAAGAAGACGACAGCTGTACAGTTTAGCAAAGCGGAACTTCTGTATTTGAATTTTAGGAATTGGAAGAGAAATCTGATGAAAATGGTGACACTGCTTCTGATGGAGAAGGTGAAGAGGAAAGTGACAGTGATGAAAGTGAAACATCAGATCAAAATCCCAAGAGGAGAAGCTGTAGAGGTCAGCAGACGACATCTGGATCACAGATCAATTCTGCTGTAGAGGGGGGGGAACCCTTTTGTTCAGGGACTGACGCGACATTGAAAGGGGATGATTTAGGGGCAACTACAAATTTAAATCATGAACAGAAGGAAGTATGTAATTTAACAGGTGACATATCCAAAATAGACTGTTCCACATCTGATGGTGCAATATTGTCAACTGATAATTGCAGTTGTGATACAGTGACAACAGAAAACAATGACAGCAGCAGTACAAAATGTGATGAAAACAGTGCGAGGGAAACCTGTGTCCACAACAGCAGCAAGTTGTTAAATGGAGAAGAATTATTGGAACTTTTTAAGACTGTTCATGAAGGAAAGAAAGTGACTGAAGGGATTTTGACTGTTGGCATGGTATGTATTTCCCTAGATATTTGGGTTGCTAGCGTCAACAACATGGTACAAGTTAATATAATAATAACCAGCATTTGTTTTTAGACCTGACAATTTCTTTGGTTTGAGGCATTGTACTTCATGAATTTTCCTGAAAAAAATGAAACTCAAGTGAAACTCACACAGTGCTCACCAATGAAGACTCTGTCCTGGAGTATTTCAGGCTAATGATCCTATTCCAGGACTCTGGAGTATTTCAGGCTAATGATCCTGTGACAGGACTCTGGAGTGTTTCTATTCTTGTCCCCATCAACTCATGAAGGTACAGAAATAAGGACCCTGGTGTGGTTCAGAAAGATGTTATGTTTTGAAAGTGTGCTCTCTCTCTCTTGTGTACAGAATCATGGAGGTGCTTTGATGGCACAGCCATTTTTTTTTTCAGAATCATGCCTTTCAGTTGTGTGGCAGTACCTGGTTCTGGGAAAAGCTCATGTTTGTCCACGCTTTAATATTCAACTTAAGAAGGTGAAATATTTTGCACATTTTATTTGTCAGATACTGTAATTTTGTGTTTGATTTTCTCTCACCAGGTTGGTTACCCTAACGTTGGCAAGAGTTCTACCATCAATGCACTTCTCCACACCAAGAAAGTGTCCGTTTCTGACACTCCTGGGAAAACAAAACATTTTCAGGTAAATAAAATTATATTCTCAACTGTTTCTTAACATGCGTGGAAGCAAATAAATAATTCTGTGCATTGGGTCATAGGTAGCATCGATCTGTATTTTATTTAAATGATACACCATTTTGTGCAGTATGATTAATTTACTAATTATTGGATTAGTATTGAATGAACTTTGGCAATGAACAGTGTTCTTACTAGGCTGTGTATGTACCCCTTGTGGCAGTGCCAAAATTGATACTGTTTGACTTTGATGCTATTTATGAATAAAGTTATTTATATTTTACAGACCCTGTATGTGGAGCCAAGCCTCATGCTCTGTGACTGCCCAGGTCTCGTGATGCCCACCTTCGTGTCCACCAAAGCAGAGCTGATCCTCAGTGGAATTCTGCCCATTGACCAGATGAGAGACCACGTGCCTCCCACTTCTTTAGTATCCTTGTTTTTAAGATAGAAAGACAAAATTTGATGATTATCATCATAATGGTGGCTCTATCTTTGACTGTATTCCCATAAACCCGGAATCCTTGTAGACTTGGATCAATCCAGCTAGTATGGTGGTATCATGGGAACGCTCCCTTTGTTTTGAAAATTCCGAGAAGGGTTTTGACTTTGCTGGCATTCCCTTTGTTGGTTGTAGATACCTAATTTTGATTTTATTTACAAAGTGGGAACTCACCATTGGGGTTTTCAGTGGTGTGTGTAATAATCTGCAGTTCCATTGTTTTAAAAAAGGAAGAAAAATTTTTAACTTTGAAAGTGAAAATCACCACTGTTCATGTATATATAAGCAGTAGGCATTGTCATGACCTGTTTTTTGTTTGAAATTAGAAGGTAACGTTTTTTGGACTGATTGTATGTGCCACAAATTCTGTTGTTGTAGTTTTGTCCTTTAACACTGTGCAGCTCTTACAGCAAATTCCTCGGAGGACCTTGGAAGCCATCTACGGGATTTTGATTCCAAGGCCTATGGAAGGAGAGGATGAAAACAGGCCTCCCAAAGCTGAAGAGTTCCTGAATAGCTATGGATGTAATTGATGTTTTTACGTGCAAACAAATTATACGGGTTAATTTTTTTAAATGGTTCTTTTTTTTTTTTTTTTTGAAATTCAAAAAGGAAATGGATTACATTTTTCGACCTTAAATTTGATACTAAAGCAGTATTACAGTAGTCAGGAAAATTTTTATAAACATTTTGCTTTAAAAATTAAACTCAAAACTTGCTGTCATACACACAATTTTATTCTCATAGGAAGTATGGCTCTTGTAGTATCATTGATATCAATTTCATCTTATTTAAAAGTTGGTCACTGTGTTAATCTGGAGATAGAAATGTCTTTATTAGATAAATAAGGTGCCACATCAGTGGAATATTATTTTAATGGAAGTTAGTAGTTGCATTCTGTTGTAATATTTCAGACATGCGAGGGTTCATGACGGCAAGAGGTAACCCAGACTGCCCCAGATCATCAAGATATGTTCTAAAAGATTATGTCAATGTAAGTCTTGGGAAGAACAATTAGAAATGATAGGAGACATGATTACTCTAAGAAGACAAGAATTTCATTTCTTTGTTTACATTCTGATGAATATATAAATATGTGTTAGTTAACATGTTATAAAAAAATTGAAGTGAATTACAGAAATTGCTTTATATTTACCAATTTGATTAATAATGAGAAAAAGAAATGTGAATTGTGGTCCCATGTGATATGGTTTAAAAATATTAAACTAACAAATAAATGTCTCATTAAGGTTTTGATTTTTAAATTTTACACGTACACTCAGAAAGTGTTGAGGGAAACAAAATGGACCAAAAGTAAATGCAAATTCTTTTAACTGTATGTCATATATTGGAATTCTCCAGGGCAAATTACTCTACTGCCACCCACCGCCAGGTGTCGGTGCTGGTCAATATGAGCCTACCCCAACTCCTGCTGAAGAAAGGATGGTTAAATTACAGAAGAAAGAGGAAAAGAAGAGAGTTACAGAGTATGACATGAATGATGTAGACAGGATGTTTTTCACCAAGGTGAGTGAACCCAAGGCATGTAAAAGACAACTAACTTCAACCAGAAATGGCTGTCGTCCCTGGATGAAAATGTATATAGGCAAAGTGACTTAAACATTGTTGAATTGAAATTCCCTTCTTAAGCTATGGGGCCATTTGTTACTTTGAATAACATAGGTTAGACCTCATCATCTTGAGTTCTAAAGCTATTTCATCTAGTACATTAATTATCAGAGTTTAAGAAACCTGTGGTAAAATATGACAGCCTTTAGTTTGTTGAGGGCCCCATAATAAGCCTTATTGCATCTTGTGAATAAACATTGCCCCCTCGCCCAACACAAACCTTATTAAAAGCGAGGAAATATTTCTATTAGTTATGTTATGGGGGCAGTGGTGAAAATAAATCAATTTTCCGACATTGAAATAAATATTCGATACGATCTGTTTCAGATGAGCCTTCAGGCCCATGCCAAGGGCCAGTCTTCCAGTGGGTCTGCAAGTTCTCAAAATAGCAAACAGTCCTTGGTAGAGAAACCATGGAAAAAACACAATAATAGGAAGAAGAAAGAGAAACTGAGAAGAATATATGCCGATTTAGATAAACATTGAATATTGGGATCTGATAATTACATTTACAGTACATATGTACAAAAGGACAAATATTAAATACACCAGTATGGGGTGGACGTCACTGGTGTGGGAATAAAAATGTAGCAAAAAAAACCACTTTACGTAGAAAAATGTATGGTAGAAATTGGGAGTGATCTTGAACCCTTGTCCAAATTATAATTTATTTTTAAAGAATCATTTATCATGGTATTTTGTGAGACCCCCACCAAGCCATGTCAGACCTTTTACTTATTATAACTGGTATTGCAGCAGTAAAATTGTGAACAGAAGAGAAATCCTTGGGTTTTTTTTTTTTTTTTTTTTT